GTGGGAATCAACGAGCAGCAGACGTTGGCTGAGAAGTGAGTGAGCACGTCCGGGATTTACCACCACAGGTGTTTGAGATTGGAAAAAATATTGTTTTGTGTGTTTTTCAGGTTTGGAGACACGTCCCTGCAGGAGAACATAAACTCTGAGAGTCTCTCCAGACTCAACTCATACTACGAGCAGTTCAAAGAAGTCCTGCCGGAGGACTGTGAGTACACAGTTTTCACGTTTTTCCTTCTTTCTGACTTGCACCACAAACCATTAGTGTCGCGACTCCTGCTTTAACCCTTCTTTTTTCTGTTCTTATCTACTTTCAGGCCTCCCAAGGTCTCGCTCTCAGACGTGCCTTCCTGAACTGCTCAGGTTTCTCCGGCAGAATGTCAACGCCAGGAAAAACAAGAACGTAGACATCCTGTGGCAGGCTGCGGAGGTGACATTTGCGCTCTTTTACTCAGAATGTCCGACTGCTTTGTTAGCAACCTTTAATTCTCCAGTAGGATTTTACTGCATTATAAATTTTACAGCTACTCTTCTCTGAAGATGTCAAAAACAAAATCATCAGCAGTGACTCACCTCCCCTCCCTGCTTGTCTCACCATCTCAGATCTGCCGGCGGCTGAACGGCGTTCGCTTCACCAGCTGCAAGAGCGCCAAAGACCGCACCGCCATGTCCATCACACTGGAGCAGTGCCTGATCCTGCAGCATGAGCACGGCATGGCGCCGCAGGTCTTCACGCAGGCCCTCGACTGCATGCGCAGGTAGGATGCCCTCACAGTGGCCGAATGTAAAAATGCACAGCTTCAAATCGCACCTGGGCAAAAAAAAGACAACTTTTACTAAATAAATAACTTCTGTGCAGGGATGAAAAGATCAGGAGTTCATCAGTGTGCTACTTGGTAATCTGACTTTAACTGTTCTCCATGTAGTTTTAACCAATGGGAATACAGTAGGTGTTTAAATGATGTGTTAGTGGTTACTTCTGTCCCACTTCAAATATGTGGATCCGTGTGCTGTGGGAAATAAGGGACCAGTGTCTTACTTTTTCTTTTTTAAACTAGAAGATAATATATTTTATGGAGGCTTATTTTCACACTGAAAAAAAACAATTTTTTTTTTAAATATATTTTTGATAGTATTTTGTAATACAAGTCAAAATTTCTTGTCGAGAACTTGGTCATTTGAGAGGTATTCCAGGCATGTCCTATCAGGAGGAGGCCCCGAGGCACTTACAGGATTTGCTGGAGGGATTATGTCTCTCAGATGGCTTGGGAGCGACTCCATTTCCCCTCCTGGATGAGGTGGATGACGTGGTCAGGGTGAGGAAAGTCCAGACGTCTGTGCTCAGACTGCTGCCTCCATGACCTCTGTCTTGAGTCTGTCATGCAGTAAGAAATGGCTGCGTGGAGCTCAGGCTTGTGAGAAAAAAATATTT